GGGGGGCTGGACGGTGGCACAGGCTGCCCAGAGCCTTGGGCTGTGGAGGTCAAGCACACAGCCCTCAAGTTCAGGGATCCCGCAGCCCAGTCTAGCCCCACTTCCCCAAGGGGGCGCCCAGCTATGCTTACCTCCTCCTCAAGGCTGCTGCTGCTGTGCTCGCTCTCCTTGGCCAAGTTGCTCATGGTGTTGCGGGAAGGCAAAATGTGTGGGTGAGAGGGAAGCCCACTCCCTCTCCGTGCAAGGAGACCCAGCTTTGTAACCAAAGCATCCTCAGAGATAGGATGGGAAACCATCAGGAGAGGCCAGGAGGAGGGGACAAGGGGATAGCAAAAGGGCAACAGGGTTGCTCAGGGCCAAGTGCTAAGGCAGGGCTTCCCTCAGACCCTTCCTCCCTCTCATTATAATCTATCTTCCTTCCTTCCTTCCTTTTTTCCTCCCTCCTACCCTCCATTCCTTCCTCCCTCTGTTCCTTCCTTCCTGTTCCTTCCATCCTTTTTTCCTCCTTTCCTCCCTCCGTTCCTTCCTCCCTCCCTTCCTCCCTCTGTTCCTGCCTTCCTCCTTTTCCCACCTACCCATCCACCCATCCTTCCTCCGTTCCTCCCTTCCTTCGTTTGTTCCTTCCTCCCTCCATTCCTCCATTTCTTCCTCCCTGTTCCTTCCTTCCTCTGTTCCTTCCTTTCTCCCTCCCTTTTTCCCCTCCCTCCCTTCCTCCCTCCGTTCCTTCTTCCCTCCGTTTGTTCTTTCGCCTTTTCATCTCTTTCCTTCCTCTGCACTTAGGAAGGGGTAATGGGAGGGGGAGAGATTGCCAGTACTGCCATGTTGCTGCCGGTCTTGCTATTCCACATGGGCAGGCAGGGGCTTTCCCGGTGAAAGAAAAGCCTTGTGGCTGTGAGGCTGGAGATGCTGGTGGGAGGTGGGACGGTGCTGATCTACAACCTGGTTGTGTCCATCAAAGCCAGAATGTGCTCAGCCTTAGATCCACGGGGCAGCCCTGGAACCAGCCCTGGAACCAGCAAGGAGTGCCCAACCGCCTCTGTCCTGCCCCCCAGGTGTGCGCACAGGAGATGGCCAGCGCCAGCGTCCTGGGTTAAGTCAGCCTGTGCGGCAAAATAGCCAGCAGGGACGTCGGACTCCGCTTGCGCGTGTGCCCAGGGCACAGGGTGGGGCTGCCCCATGGATCTAAGGCTGAGCATGTTCTGGCTTTTATGGACGCAACCAGGTTGTAGATCAGTGCCTGGTCGGCCTGCTGTTTCCAGAGCAGGCCCCTAGGCCGGACGGATCCACATATTGGGCCGGACCCGACCCGCAGGCCTTGTGTTTGACATGTCTGCACTAAAGAAAGAAATAACAACAGTATTCTACCAAGAGAAGGTTGCCAGGTCCAATTTAGGATGCTGATTTTAAATTTTCATCTCCTTAATGTCATGAGACCAGGTTATCTGAGGGATTGCCTCTGTCAAATTATATCAACCTGGCTGTCTCTGATTCTCTTTTTAGATTCAGCAGATAAGACATGTTCTGATACTATCTGCCAACGACCTACATTTGGCAGGTCCCAGGTGAGCTTTCTCTGCTGTGGCACCTGCATTTTGTAACATTTATTCTCTCCCCCAGACTTTAGATTAGCGTCATCGCTTTTGATGTTCCAGAAATCCATCAAGATCTGGTTATGCCCTTGTGACCTTGTTTAGATGATTCTACTATTGAGATGGCTGTAATCTCTCCCTCTCCCTCTCCCTCTCCCTCTCCCTCTCTCTCTCTCTCTCTCTCTTTGGGATTTGTATATATTTTTAGTTTTAATTATTTTCATTTTAATTCTGATTTTTCCATTTTAAATATCTTGTTTTTATACATGCATTCTCTTTTACTAATGATTGTACACCACCAGGAGTAAATTCTTGTAAGATGGGCTGATACATAAACTTGGTTATTAAATAAATTAAATAAATAAATAGAGAGCCAAATGGACATTCACAACCAAGGGTAATCTTTGGAATTGGGTATGTCTAGTTTAACAAAGAGAAGGACGAGGGGGGACATGATAGCAGTGTTCCAATATCTCAGGGGCTGCCACAAAGAAGAGGGAGTCAAGCTATTCTCCAAGGCGCCTGAAGGCAGGACGAGAAGCAATGGATGGAAACTGATCAAGGAGAGAAGCAACTTAGAACTAAGGAGAAACTTCCTGACAGTTAGAACAATTAACCAATGGAACAACNGAATTTTTCAGACATTCTATTTATCAAATATAACCCATTAAATCTATTACTGACCTTTACCATATAATAAAGAATAATGCAGAGGTCATATCTTGTTCATCTGATAATTTTTTTTTCTTTGGCTTACATGGTAATTTTGTGAGGAAGAGATCATGATCTAAAATACACTCAGTATCAGACCTTGCTTTTGCTGACCAAACAGAATTTCTTCACAGATTTTTTTTAAAAAGGTATTTGTTCTAAATATTAATCTATTTGTCTGTCTCGGTGTCTCCTTCTTTGTTTCACACATCAATACCACATTTTTGGCTTTTTTCACATTTCATTTTAGTTTTAATAGAATGGAGCTATTCTACTCTCCTGTAATTAGTATGACCCTTTTTGTGGTGTTTGGTCAAGGTACTGCAAATTATCACAGAATTGTACAAAGTCTGCTTCCTCTGCATCTGTGTTTGGAGAATAGGTTGGCTTGACTTGAATTTAAATTGAGATCATTCTGTCTATTTGGGGCATCATGTCCAAGCACTGACTTTTTAACATTTTTGTTAATAATTAATAACACTTCATTCTTCTGATTTTTAAAGGCTTTTTTAAATCTTATCTTTATTATTTTTATAAATAACTCAAAATGGCAAACATACCTAATACTCCCTTCTTCCTCCTATTCTCTCCACAACAACAACCCTGTAAGGTGGGCTGGGCTGAGAAGTGTGTATGTCCCAGAAATCACCCAGCTGGCTTTCATGCCAAAGGCATGAATTTTGTAAAATTTGATAGTATTCTGTAAATACAATAATTTAAGTTCTTTAACAATATATAGAGTTTACCTTCTCATGACTGGAGCTGGGGAATAGGGAACAGCCTGAGGAGGCAAAGTGAGAGCTGCAGGCTTGCTCTGACTGCATAGACTGGAGTGTTTTTGAAGCTGCTTCAAGCAGACTTGAATGAATTTACTGGTATTGTGACAGCATATACCAGCTTTTGTGAGGATATGTGTGTCCTTGTCAAGAGCTAGGGCAGGGGTAGGCAACCTTGGCTCTTTTATGACTTGTGGACTTGAACTCCCAGAATTCCTGAGCCAGCCATGGGTAGGGTATATATAACAACAATATGCCTTGCTTTACAGCAAAGCTAAAGCTCCATTGCACCAAAGAGGAAGGCTACAGGAAAGGAAATAGGATCTTGTACAATCAGACCAACAATGTATTAACAGGGGAGATCAGGGTAGCAAAGAGTAGCTAGCACATTTGGCACAATTCATAAACATCAGAAATAAAGAAAAAAAACAGCACAGTATGTGTAATCTTTCTCATATGTTCTTTATCAAAAGACATCTATGTGATTTATGTTTACCTCTTCACTAGACCAGAGGTCCCCAACCTTTTGGGCACCGGGGACCGGTTCCGTGGAGAGAGGTTTTTCCATGGACCGGAAGGGATGTGGTTTCATGTACTGCCTGCATCCCGCAGATGGGGCTTTGCTTGTTTGTGCGGCCCAGTTGCTGGCATGCTGCGGCCCAGTGCCAGCCCATGGACCAGGGGTTGGGGATCCCTGCACTAGACACATCCAGCACTGCATTAACTTTATCTTATCTCTGAACAAGAAGATAATATCACATTGCCACCCTTTAATTGCCATTTCCTTGCTCTTTGGAAATGCTGTCCTTTCAGACAAGCGAGGAATTAAATGCTGCTTTTAAACTCTCAAAGTAGACATAAAAGGTCTATCAGCCTACTTTTCAGAGTGACAAATAGCCTCAAGGGAACCTGAATGATGAAGCCAGATCCAAAAGGCAGGAGCCTAAAATTGGGGATGGAGCACTCCATAGATACTGAACGTCTTGAGTGGTACAGTGGTATTCTACAGTTATCTGAATTCACAATTAGGTTTTGACAAGCCCCCAAAAGCCAGCAATAAACCAAAATGTGACAAATGGATATTCAACTTTTTTTTTCTGCAGGCCAACATTTTTGCCAGAGGAAGACTGCATAATGCAATAGGCATTAAAAAGACTCAAGAGCCAAGAAGAAACCTGTTCATATCTTAAACAACTCTCACGTATCCTTGGATAATCTCACTTATAATATGAAGATTGGCCGATTTCAGAGAGCTGCTTTAAGTGCTACTGTGATAATATCTCAGACACTTTGAGTTACAAAAATACTAAGAATTTAGGAAGGTGTAATTTAAGTTCTTAAATGCTGTCAGGATATAAATGCTACTTATGAATGAACTAGGGACTACTAATTTTATGGTGGCATTATTAGTAATCATAGGTTATGCAAAAGTTATGGGGAGGGGGGGGCATAATCTTTTTCTGCAAAGTGTTCTAGCAATAGCACGGATTCAAGTTCATTCAAACTGAAAGTTCTCCAAGACAAATTGCCTGATATTCTAGGGCTATACTATGTAACTATGTGAACATGTTCTCCGTTAATGGGCTGAATTCTTTCTTTCATCTAGTTCTGTTTCCATACATGTGGACACCACCTTGCTGAGAAAAGATTTTATAGCCTTTATGATCCATAGGAAATGACAGCTTTTTGCTTCATTAATGCCTCATTTTACTTACACTTTTCCCCACAAGAATGACTGGCAATTTTCTCCTCTTCAACATCATTACTGCATTTCTAAAACCTTTCTACATAAATTAAAGCTTTGCTTTAAAAGCAACATGGAGTGTGCTCGCAGGCTGAAAAAGCAATCTCTTTTTGCAGACAGTAACATTCAGGCAATGAACTAGAGAAGCGATCTTGCTCCAATTAAAAGCTTCTAATTTACCTGGCTCCAACAATGAGTTGATTCCTACTGGCATCTAGAGCAAGCTGAGAGAAGTCCCGTACACCAGAGTATGTGAAATTTGAAACCCAAGGCTTCAGATCTGCAAAGAAAAATGAAAAAGACAGAGGAACAATGATATTGTTTCCACATGGCATTCAACTAATGGATCTCCAACGGAGTATCATTCAATATGTGAATAATTAACATTCTATGATATTCTATATTGATATAATGGGGGGTCACCAAGGTAGCAGCTACTATAGCAAGGTCTGTCAGTTTTCTAATTAATTCAATTCAGTTTTCTAATTTTAATAAAGTTGATTCAATGATCAGTCTTCTAATCTACGTAGTAGGTAACGGAAAGAACTCACTGTAGCTTCAGATCTTACTATCACAGGTTGGGCAAAGGCTATTTAATGGCAGAAGTTTTTATGGCGATCACTATTATTTCCGAATAAAGCTCTTTTTTTAAAAAAAAAAATCCCACTAGCGGAATAAGGAATATTTATTAGAAACTATAGAGAGATGTGGAGATCTAAATCTCCTGTAATGCAAGAGACTTTGGTTTCCTTGTGTTGAAAAACATTAAAACGTTTGGACTTTCATCCTCTTTGAATGGCAACTTTCCTCTAAAATTAGACATGTATCAGGTTATCCTACTAAAAAGATAAATGGGACATAATTATTCTTAAGGTTTAGTCACAAGGAATTTTGGCAGATAAGGCTTTCTTGTGCACTCCAAAATTAAAAAAAAACCCTGCATTACCACATATAAACATAAGACATAGAGTTCTATCAAAAGCCCTCAAACTGTGCTTCAGTCAGCATTTGGTGTATAAAAGATCTGACAAAGATGGAACAAATAATCCAGTGTGTTAATAGAAAAGATAACAGTTTCAAGATAATAGAAATTCTGCTCATTACTTGTGTTCCAGTTAGACAGATTTATTTAACTGGAAGCAAAAAACAGTAGAATATATTTCTAAAAGAGATGTTTACTCCCAAATCATTTTAAGATGAAGTTTTAATTTTATATTCTTTGGAAAAATAAGCAGTGTATGTATAAAAAAAAAATCCAACTCTATCCAACAACCTTAAACACATGAATCATAAAAATAGAAATGTTTATGAAATTATTTTCAGGATTACCAACTGACATTCAAAATGTTACTACCAGATTGTAGAGTATGTGTGTATGTGTGTTTTAAAGGCATTATTTCTTGCAGGAAAGAAATAATCCAATAAAATTAACTTTCAGGTTGCCTTATTGAAAAATAGCAGAATTTTTGACTTTTAGTTTTTTCCATGGTATTATAAGTAGTACACAGTAACTGTTTATTCAATTTATATCTTGTCTTTTTGCTCAGATGAACACTTAAGGCAGCTACTATAATTAAAATATATGCGCCGGCACAATGTAAAGATTAACACTAAATGCTTTCAATATTAAAACATTTAACAACCAAAAGCTTGATTAAAAAAGATGGGCCCTTACAATTCTTTTAAATGCTGATAGAAATGGGTCAAATTTCAAGGGAGTTACAGAAGGTGACTATGGGTGTTTGGGTATGTCTGTGTGTCCTTTGAAAGGGCAGATTTTAACATTCGTTTCTAATGGCAGAAATGTGTTAGATCACAGGTGTCAAACTCGATCAAGTCACGTGACGTATCATGATGCATCGCGACCGTTTTTTTGCCTTTGCGAAGCTGAGGTGGGCGTGGCCTGCACATGATGCATCTGGACCGCAGGCCACCAGTTTGACACGCCTGTGTCAGATAATCAGATCTTAAGCCCCTGGGGACTTCACATTTGACAAATGATCAATCAACATTTCAGGATATCAAATGGTACCTGTATCTTACAGTGTTTGGCAGCCTTCCATTTTACACCACCCACAACTATTAGATATTTTTCAGGGTTAGTCCCACAGAGAACCCATGACAATGGTAAAAGACAGGGTACATCTAAAACACAGATAATTGTCATCAAATGTGCTTGGGCCCAAACCTTAACTGTGTGGAAAAGCTCCATGTTATAATTGCCCCTTGTGAATCTAGTGACAGTTGAAAATCACATCCATTTGTTCAAAATGAGAACTTCCATCCCCAAGAATGTATATTTATCCATAGTATCTCCAGCTAATTTGAACATAGACTGTTCCAACCCAATATCAAATTTAGGCCATATTTGAAGGTTCTATCTGCTTCCTTGGGCTGGATGGTAAGGAACAGTAGAGTCTATTATTAGCATTCTAACGGCAATTTACTCAAAAGCTCCCAATGACTGGCTGTACTACTGATTCACATGAAAGAGGAACTTAATAAAGTCTTATTATTACCAGTAGTCCTCAACTTACAACCACAATTGTTACCAGAATGTCCATCACTAAGCAAAATGGTTAAGTAAATGTGCCCAATTTTATGATCTTTGTTGCCATGGTCATTAAGCAAATCTGGCTTTGCTTGTCAGAAGTTGGCTGGGAAGGTATTAATGATGATATAATGAACCTGGGACACAGCCATTGTCATATAAAGATGCCAATTACCAAGCGCCCAAATTTTCACTGTGACAGTTGTTAAGTGTGAAGGCTAATTGTAAGCCACTTTTTTCAGCACTGTTGTAACTTTGAACACTCACTAAACAAATGGTTGTAAGTTGTGAACTACCTGTATGTGACACTTCTTGCATATAAAAGCTTCTGTAATCACTGTGATCCAGTTCATGCAGGAACTGCAAAATGATGCTAGAGAATTTTAAAATGTATGAAGGAATGCTGTAGGGCAGGGGTGGCGAACCTGTGGCACGCGTGCCAAAGGCAGCACTCGGAGCCCTCTCTGTAGGCACATGCACCGTCGCCCCAGCCCCACCTTCCCCCATGGCCCCCTCCTCACCAGCAGCCCCCAGAGAGTCACCCCCAGACGCGGCCCACGTGGAACAGCGCAGCCAAGCCCATGGCAGCCAGGAAGCAGGGACAAGACTCCGCCCTCATGCCCCGTCACGCGCAGTTGATGCTGCGGGGCATGGGCAGAGGGTGTGACCGCCATGGCACTGCTGGGCCCCTGGGCGATCTGCTGCAGCGGGCTGTGGAGATGGTGGGTGGCCCTGTGGGAAGGCGGGGCAAGGCAGAGTGGGGGCAGAAAGGGGGTGGGGGCAGGCTAGGGGGCAGTGTGTTTTTTGGGCACTCAGTCTCTAAGGTTCGCAATCACTGCTGTAGGGGTTTTGAATCCCATTTGCACAAGCCAGGAAACCATCAATTGCTAAAATAGGAGAAGCATGAATTTAGCAGTGTGTATGTCACGTATACTAATCGGAGATGGAAACCTGTGACCCACCTGAAACATACAGCTCCATCTCATACACCAAAATTATGCTGCTAAAATTTGACAAAATGGTTGGTTTTACTAATGCAATTTTTTTGGGTCTGTTTGGTAAACTTAAGGATAAATCTGGAAGACGCATCCATTGGGAGGCCAGCTGTTTCCATGTCCAAATGTTAACGATCTTCTCCTCAGTTGTCATCTTCCAGGATCTCCCTACTCCCTTTCCCACCCCGAAATCCTCTTTCTGTAATGTTATCACAGTTCCTATGATTCTCTGGAAGACTGGGAATCCAGGTGCCAGATGCAATCCCAGTGTGACCAACCCTGAATAAAAAAGTACTGCAAATTATTAACTGCAGTATGCCAGGTGTTCCTCAGCTATTCTTAATACAATACAGAATACAGGTCATGAATATCAATTACTAGAGGAGATTCCAAAAGAAGGCTAAGAAAATCTCTTTGCAATCATTCCCAGAAATTTCATTTATGAATGAATATATATGCATGTGTGTGTGTGTGTGTATGTGTGTATATATATATATGTGTGCGTGTGCGTGTGTATGTTTTTCATATTACAAATGCATAACTAGAAGCTCTTTCTAAGTAGGACTTATATGTAAGTCCTTAATCCCAAAGAGACTTGTTTTACACATACAATGTTTTGGACATGGAAATTCCTTCCTTTAGATTGCAATGTGGGTCTCTCTTTTTCAGAGTTCTCCATCCATGGACACGAATTTTTCAAGCTCTCACAATCATAACTGAAACAAGGAAATAATGGAGACTAACTCATCAAGGCTGACCTGAAACCATCCTTCCCCAATGCATCGGGATTTGGTAGGACATTTAGCAAGATGCAAATCCACAACAGATGCCAAAATATCACCCAGGTATTCTCTTAGCTTATTAAACTGCTTTTTAAAAATTCTTTAATATAAATTTATTTCAAGCATGGATCCGTCTGAGCTTAATAATCAAAACCTGCATATATTAGACAGGTGAACAAGATAATACATGCATTCTCCAGATGTTTGGGCACTTTTGCTCTCTGATCAGAAGTCATTTCCCAACAATGAAACCTATGGATCCTATGCTGATGCTCTAATTTCTCTTGTCATTTTCAAACAGACTTGTGTTTTTTCTTTCTTTGACAAACTCATTTTGAAAAGACAGCAGAAAATGTAAGTCTGTTCTCACTCCTCTTCTTTGTTTTTCATTTGACGCACACTCATTTAAGAAGTTCTCCCATCATCTCTACCTTTAAATAGCAAACAATATATAAAAGTTACAGATAAAAGAATTATGAGGTGAAAAATATGTGCACTGTAGGCAGTTCAGTCCTCTCTCTGATAGTTTAAAATGATAGTCAAAGCAGAGAAGTAACAGATGACAGGCCCTGAGTTCTACTTATGACCATGGGTGGCTAAGTCTATAAAGAATCCCTTTCTGTTTGCTAAATTAAAGGCTGCATGACATGTACTGGTAACTTCATAGATTTAAACCTTTATAGATTTGGGGGATGATTAAACACAGCATGGCTTTCCCTGATAGTCCAAACTGCCAGTTACCCCAATTCACACCATGACCAGGCTTTCTGCACTCATGCTATTTTCTGAGGGGATAGAGGATCAAACAATCATATGGCTATGAACCAAGCACTTGGGGGGGACGCCCCATATTTAATGTCATGGCCTAAGGTCAGAGATATCTTGGGAATAAACACACAACTGGAAGAACAAACCTCACATCAATCAGATGACTATACCTCTCTACAATAAATGAAATTTACATATAGAGATCCAATGAACTCTCATATCTTTCTTCGGGAGATAGCTTCCTTTACTTCCATTTCTTTATTTTTTCTTTCTGTCTCCTCTTAGAGCAGTGCCTCAATTTTGACTAAAAGCTTTCAAAAAACAGACTATGTTTACCTTATAATTATCATACAAATTAAAATTTAAAAGACCATGAGAAATCCACTCAGTTTTTTTCAGAATAGAATAGAATGGAATGGAATGGAATGGAATGGAAT